TAGCATTCATGTGGCTGTGCTACAGCAGGCACTATTGGAAACCTTTACATACACGAACGCCTTTCAGCTTCACAAACCCTGTGAGGTAGATGCAGTTATCGTCTCCATTTGTCAGGGAGACACTGAAGCACAGAGCATGTAAGTAATTCACCTGCAGTTGGGTGCAGTTGCGTAATAAACGGCAGCACTAGCATTTGAGGTTGGACTATCTGATCTTATTAATATATTTTGTTTGAAAGTTCCAAAGTTCAAAACCAACCAACACAATAAGACCTTTTTCAGCCGGGCGGTGGTGGCGCACACCTTTAATCCCAGCACTTGGGAGGCAGAGGCAGGTGGATTTCTGAGTTCGAGAGTTCGAGGCTAGCCTGGTCTACAGAGTGAGTTCCAGGACAGCCAGGGCTACACAGAGAAACCCTGTCTTGAAAAAACCAAAAAAAAAAAAAAAAAAAAGACCTTTCTCAAAACAAACGAAATTTCTAAGAATTGCCCCCCTTGAAGTGTCTGTTATAAGTAAGGTAGAGCTGGGCATTGCGGCTCACACCTAGAATGCCAGCACTTGAGGGGCTAGACAGGTCGAGTGCTGTGGTTTTAAGGTTAACCTGGGATACAGAGTGAGACCCTCTCTCAAACAAAAACAAAAAAATCAACCCAAGGTAAATCTAGGTGGTTAAAAGCCTGTGCCCCTAGGCTCGCAGGAGGCTGAGGTAGGAGGACTGTGAATTTGAGGCCAGCCAGGGTTACACAGCAAGATCTTGTCTAAAATAAATACTTAAATAAATAGAAGAGGAGGAGAAGGAGGGATGAGAAACAAAGTATTCTTAGATGAAGGAAAACAACACTGGTTATCAAAACCTGCTCAGGAATTTTTGTTTAAGGAAGTTCTTCAGATGGAGGGAACACAGCATCAGGAATGAGCGAAAAGTCATAGTCAATGTGTAGGGAAATGCAATAGATTACTTGTCTCTATGAGTTCCTTAAGATGCATTTGACAGTTGAAAGCAGGAAGTGTACCTGTTGAGTCTTCAGTGTTTGTAGATGCAGTCCTGTGGAAGACAGTTAAAGCATGAGGAGGGTGCTGTATGGTGCTAAGGTTCATGCAGTTATAAGCAGAGGTGAGCTCTGAAAGGTGTATGTGGGTTAGGGATAAGCTTAGTGCTGGAGAGCCTGTGCTTAGCATGTACAAGACCCTGGGCTCAGTACACAGTACATGCACATTTTTTCTCTCTCACAGGTATGTATTATTAACAGTTTTTAAAAATCTACATATACTAGTAGTTATATTAAGTGCAAATGATTCAAAAACATATCTAAAAGACAGAAATTATCAGATCATATTAAAAAAAAGATGAAAACCAGGTACAGAAGCATGTGTGTTACCTCAGTGTGTGTATGTGTGTGTGTGTGTGTGTATGTGTGTGTGTGTGAGAGAGAGAGAGAGAGAGAGAGAGAGATCCCTGAAGCTCGTTGGCCAGCAGCTAGCTACAATGATGAGGTTCAGTTTCAATGAGAAACTCCACTGAAAATAAAGATGGTGAGCTGGCAGAATAGTGGAAGGAGAGACCCAGTTTCCACAGTGGTCACTGGACCTCCATGTGTGTACCTTGGGATGTGCTTGTGTGCACATACAAAATAAGTAAGTAAATGAAAAACAATTACACACACACACACACACACGTATGTATACCCATATGCACACATCTACACTAACAGGTACACAAAACAACACATATATACCAAACAAAAAGGTGAGGCAACAAAAAGGGTGAAATAAATATATCATTAGTTAGAAATTCAATTAAAATGTCGTGACACAATTAAGTTATTTAGAAGCTAGGACTGGGGAGATAGTTTAGTAGTTTAGTAGTAAAGTACTTGCTGCACAGGCAGCAGACTCTGAACTCAGGTCCATAGCACTACACACAAAAGCCTCTAACTCCAGCACTGAGAGGCACAGACAGAGGGATCTGGGGGCTTGCTGGCCAGCCAATCTAGCTGAAAAGGTGAGCTCCAGGTTCGGCTGGAGATCCTATCTTAGAAGATAAGTTAACGTGTACTGGCTGTTTCACAGCAATTTCATACAAGTTAGAATCATTCTGAAAGAAGGAGCCTCGGCTGAGCCAATGCACACACTAGTTTGGCGTGTGGGTTAGTTTGTAGTGCATTTCTAGACTGAGGACTGGTGACGGTCCCGGCTCACTGTGTGCAGTGCCACCAGTTGACTAGCAGTCCTAAGTGCTATGAAAAAGTAGACCAAGCCAGCCATCTTGAGGAGCAAGCCAGTAAGCACTGATCCTCCCTGACTTCCGCACCACTTCCTGTCTCCAGGGTTCTGCCTTGTTTACCTACCTGACTTCTCTTCATGATGGACAGTAATAGAGACATGTCAACTGAAATAAATCTTTCCTTCCCTAAGTTGCTTTTGATCATGGCTTTCTGTCACAGCAGTAGAAACATTAAGACAGAGGACAGTAGGAGAGTGAGCTCCAGTCCAGCCAGGGTTATATAGGAAGAACCTGATTTTTAGAAAAAGAATGGGGGAAAAGATGGAAGCGACGCACTGTGATGGTGGTACGTGACTGTAATCTCAGCACTTAGACAGAAACTGAGGGAAACAGAAGGATCAGAACGCAAGGCCAGCTTCGACTACATAGAAGTTCCAGGCTTGCCTGAGCTGTGTGAGATCTTCCATCACAAAGAAAAAATAGTAAAAAAATGCACCATATATGTAAATACTAATCAATAGAAAGTAGATGTATTACTATCAAGATTGTTTTCTAAGCAAGAGATAACAGGTAAAAAGATAATAACATTACATAGTAACGGGGTTGGTTCACAAAGAGACAGGAGTCTTTCTCTAATAACAGAGCTTCACCATACGGGAAGGAAGAAATAGAACAAATTGGTATTGACTTGGAGTCTCTTGGTATTAAAAGTAGGAGCTAGAAAAATGAGAATATAGAAGAACTGAGTGCTCACTGTTAGCCAGCTTCATCCAGTTGACATTCATAGTGTTGAATACCCATTGAAAAACAAAAACAACCATCCAATCAAAAACCAACAATCTCACTCTGTTGCCTTGGCTAGTCTGGAACTCACTATTTAGGCAAGCTGTCATGAGTTCACAGAGGTCAGCCTACCTCTGCCTCCCAGAGCTTGGATTAAGGGAGCGCTGCTATTCCAACTGGATACACATTTCTAAATACATGTGGGACATTCACCAAGTTTATGAGTCATAAAGTATGTCTCCAACTTCCAGGCCAGCCTATGTTATCTGTCTTGGTTTATTCTCTTATTGGATTCCCTAGAACTGGAGTTACAGACGGTTGTGAGCTATCTTGTGGGTACTGGGAACTGAACCCAGTTTCCTGGGAAGAATAGCCAGTACTCTTAACCTCTGACCATCTCTCTGTTCCTGTAGTTCAGTTTAATTCTAAGTTTGTGTAGGAGTGCAGATGTGAGATTTATTTTTTCCTTTTTCAGAGCGGGTCTTCTGTGGACCCTCTGTATAGTCGAGGATATCTTTTAACCTGTGCTCCTTCTTCCTGTGCCTCCCTGTGTGGGGGTCACCGGTGCACCCACTGCCCTGGTGATGTTGTACTGGGGATCAAGGGTAGGCCTTCGTGGGTGCCAGTCCAGCACTCTGCTACTGAGCTGCATTCTCAGCCCTGGTCTCCCTCCCCACATTTGGTTTTTCCAGACAGTCTTTCTCAGTG